GCCCATCAATTTACAGCTCACACTTTGAATATAAAAGTCATTCTTTCCTCCAAAGCCTTCACCCATTGTCCCCTTGCCATGATGAAGCTTTGTCCTCAATAAGATGCCAATTGCTTCAGAAAATATCTCAAAGCTAAGGTAACTTCTTGTTACCAAGAGTTATGGTAACAAGAAAATCAAGATAACACAAAGGAGGTAAAAGCTGGACAATTCCGGATTTCCAGAGCTGTGGTAACATGTTGGATTGGTTGGATAGGCAATACTTGTCCAATGGAGCTCAAATTTGGATATGTTGTAGTTAACATCCATTGGAACAAGTCTCATGAAGATCATGACCTCATCCGAGTATCAGAGCATGCTGATCCCAGGCCAAGAAGTTGACCTACGAAAATGAACAAAAACAAAGTTTATAACCAATAATGCACTTTTAGCTCATTTTCATTCCAACCAAGGTAAAATCTAAGAAAACACAAAAAGGAAGTAAAAAGCTATAAAATGTCAAGAACTAACTCAAAATAGTGGGTGAATAACATGAAAAATCATGTGTAAAAATGAACCGAACACTATACAACTTGGAATATGAACTACGGTGTTTCTCGGCCAGTGCACTTAAAATTACAAATCCCCAAGCAAGAAGTACCTTCTTACTCGCGAACTTGGGGGACAACTGTTGATACCGTGACTAACCGAGCAACTAGATAAGCAAGATCAACCACGTGCCCTGCTTTGAGAAATCATCACCTTAGCCAAATAAGCCTTGCCACAGGTCACAACTATATGTCAAGAGTCCCACATTGGAAAACTACAAGAGGTGGAGACTCCTCTTGACTTAGAAAAGAAGACCACTCTTTACTTAGAAAAAGGGTCTTGACCCTTGGGCCTTGGACTCTTGGGCTTTGTACCTTAGGCCTTGAGCCTTCTTCCCTTTATCTTTAGGTCTAATCCCCTTGTACAAATGTAAACAAATATTATCATAATAAGAACATCCTTCTTTGTGGACGTAACCCATCATTCGGGTGAACCACATATACCTTGTCTTTTGCATACTTATTTACTTTACTTATGCTAAACGTCACTGACTGCCAAAGGCAGTTTCTTGCCTTGCCTCCCAAAGGCACATACACGTGCTGAAAGCCCATGTCTTCACACATCATCCACCACTCCACATCTATCTAAGTTGAATCCCATTTTGGACGTCAACATATCTATCAAAATATTTGGGGAGAAGCAAAGATTTGTCATGGTCTAAAATTAGTCTATAATCAAACGAAATCCACCACTTTTTTGTATTCCTTTTAAAATCAATGAATTTTTAAATACACCCAAACTTTTATGAAGTATTTTAAAATCGTAATTGAATACATCCAAATTTAAATGGAGTTTAAAAAGTCTAAATTGAATACACCAATAATGATATAGACTTCTATAAAATCGTGGTTGAATGCACCTGCACTATTAAACTTCTTTAAAATCTTTTAAAATCTCATTTGAGTAAACCCCCTATATTTCAAGTTTATTTGCTCCATCCAAATCCATGCTAAGGTAAGGCTAAATTAGCTAAAAGAAGAATCTGTAATGTAGGAAGTGGAAGGCAGCGTACCCTCTATCTCTACTTTTGCAGACACATTTTGGACTGCTTCCACACCCGCGTAAATTTCCAAATAAGAGGTTGAGCAGAACTGTAATAGTGTGGAAGTAGCCAAACAGTAGCAATAGACAACATCCCTATTGACTCAGCGTCAGTAGATCCTCGTATAAAAGGGGACCCAAAAAAACCTACACACGCTTTTCAACAGCTCGCGCACTTTGTTGGCGTCCGCAACCGCAACTGTCTATCTCTCTCTCCTCTCTTACACAAACTCTCTCTCTCTCTCTCTCTCTTGCTCTCTCTTTGTCACTCTTCTTAAAACCCTAGCGCCCACCAAACCCATGACAGGATGAAACACTACAAAACGCGCGTTTTGCTCTGATCGCAGCTTGCTCCACCAGCCCACGAAGATCTTGATACTCCGTTCCACGCTCTTCCCCTCAATTTTACAACTTTAACACTGTCACTGCCACTGCCACTGCCTCTGTTCTCTTCGTTGAGCAAAGGAAAGGAGAGGAAAGGAATTTTGGTTTTGGTGAGATCGGAGGAGTGATGGTGATGGCTGAGAATGAGGCTGGGGATGACCAGAGGGACCTCAATGTCAATGGAGGTGGGCCCAAGTCCCCATGGAAGACTCCGGTCACTGTCGACGCCAAGGCGGCCGAGGATGCTCCCGTCATGGGGGCTGAGTCCTGGCCTGCTCTGGCCGACGCCCACAGGCCCAAAAATTCAGATGCTGCCGCGAAGCCGCCGGCCGCAGAGCCGTCTCCCTTGCCTCCTCAGGTAAATTGTCAATTGCTGAACATCTGATTTCTTGGAATCTTTTATAGGGTCCGTTTGTTTCCATAAATGGTTTTCCATGTGACAGCTTCCATGAAGATAAAAGAAAGCTATTGTTTGGCTGCAGAACTATAAAATAACCCAAACCTGTTTGCTACATGTTGGAAAAGTTTAAAACTATGGAACATGCACGGTTAATTCAGTAATGTTTTATCTCTGCATTGAAACCTTAGAAAATGGTCATTTTTATTTGAATAATTTATTTATTTATTCTTTAGGAGAAGAGATTTGTGTAATTAATTAAAGTATCATTTTTATTTGGCAAAAATTATTTAAAGAAAATTAAATTCGCATATTCATATCTTTATTGATGTCCTAAATATTGTATTTTTTTAAGAAAACACCACAGAGTATAATATAACTTCAAATAAAAGATTAATAACTAGAGAGCTTAATAAAATCGAAACCAAAATTACAATCAAAGCTAATGTTTTTCACTTTTTTTCAAAAAAAATATTTGGCAACCCTTCAAAAGTTAATATTGTACTAGGATAACCCAGAATTTAACTGTTGCATACTGAGTCCATGTATCTAAATATATGGGCACTTACTGGAATTTACTTGAAAAAAGTTCTTCTAAACGGCCTGCTAAATACAGATTTTGCATTGTCTTGAAGGACTAGAACAGAAAATTATTAGAGATTCATTACCAAAGTGGCTCGCTAGTCTTCGATTTCTTGTTCTCCCCCTTCCTGCCATTCCTGGTTACTTGATGTGTCTAGCACTAGTGCTTTGAGATATACGCTTAAAATTGGATTAGTTATTTAGAATTTCAAGTGTTAGGGCCTGCCACCTGTTCATGAACATTGTTATTTTATTAATTTATTTCATTCCTATTAAAAATGAGCAATAGGTCAAAAACAAAAAAGATACATGCTACTTTAGTTCATCTGGTCATTAACTGTATTTGCTTTTAAATGTTTTGATTGGTCATCCAGGGATTTGTCATGCAGCAGAAGTCAAATGGGTCTGGAAATTCTAATGCTTCACACAAGCATTCATCATCACAACATCACCAAAAAGGCCCTAGGCGCAACCCAAATGCCGCACCTCCTTTTCCAGTACCCTTACCTTACCATCAACCACCGCTTCCTCCTGTTTTTCATACTATGGTACAGCAGCCACACATTGCTGCTTCTGGGTATGCTTACCAGCCATACCCTGGACCCATTCCAAGTGTTGAAAATCATATTGCAAAATCTGGATGTGAGACCCCAGTGCAAGCTTTTGTGCAACCAGTTCAGCCTCAACCACGAGGGAATCCAAATGCTTATGGTGCCAATTTTTCTACTAGAAGACCCAATTTGCCAGAACCCGGTGGCCATTGGAATCATACTTGGAATCATCAACGACCGTTTAACCCCAGAGAGAACATTCCTGTGCAACAGGGTGTTGGACCTAGGCCTTTCTTAAGACCTCATTTTTTTGGTCCAGCTCCAGGATTCATGGTCGGCCCAAGCATTCCTGGTAATTATAGCAGTGCTGAGCTGTCTTATTTTGTTTTCAATTATGTGTATTATTTTTAACAAATTTTCCATTTTCCCCTTGGTATCGGACTATTTCCAGTGTCACCAGTATACTTGAATTTACTTAATTGAAAAAATGGAGAAATCAATTTGCTCAATGAATCTCCTAACACTCAGCTGCTGCTGATCTTTTACTTTGTGTTTATGACCTTATGTTTTATTCGTGTTT